TCCTTACGGAAACTGTAAAACTTTCTGTTGCTGGCCTCTGTCTGGCACACGAAATGATGATGCAGTAGTCTCTCTGACCAATCAGCAGTCTGTCGTTACATTTTAGTATCCCTCAGCTCGCTTGGAACCTCGACGAAGGTGAGGTGATTAAAAAAAAAGTACCTGGAAGCAGGTACAGGTACAACATTTCTACAATGGAAACCCAAACAAAGGCGAGTCGAGCCAAAGGGCCTCCGCTCAGACTACTTGGTTTGAGGGCGTGCCTGACCCCGCTAGCTGCTTGGCAAGCTTTATGATGAGTTTTCATTGTGATGTCACAAGTAAAGGAAGTGAAGGGCTGGACTACAAACGAGCTGTTTTCAAGCGGTTCAGAGCAGAGCTTTCTGTGGAGATGGGAACTCCCTTTGGGCTGGACTTTGTACTTTTTCACATGCACAAAAAAGATATATAACTCAATAAAGCCAAAAATCATAATACCACCTCTTTAACTGCTTTTATTAAATTATCTTTTTTAGTGTTTGGGACAACGTTGATTTCTCTTCACTGGAACGTCTCAGCAGCTAGCTTCCATGCACATCCGGTTCCAGTGTTGTTGTTAGCGTCGTTAGCTCTGTCGGACTACAACTTCATACTTACAAACCGGACAAAACTGGACATTACTTGGAGAAAAGAAAGCGAGGGGATAACTACCTGGTGAGTTCAGAAAACATGTGTCCGTAACTTTATTCCAGCTATCATTGTACTTTACTATGACCAAGTTAGCATAGCATAGCCCTGATCGATCCAAACTCCATTCAGAAAACAAACATTTTAGAAGTTGTTGTCCTGCTGTCTTGCTGACAGACCTGACAAGCATGAATTCATATGTTTAACAAATCTGCATCATGTTGTAGTTATTTTGCCATCAGTTTAATCCGTTTATTGCTATTTAATCACAGCGAAATGTTATGTTGGGTTCATACAGTTGTAGTAATTGCGAGTTGTGTTATTCATGTTATCGCGTTAAAATCGCCTTCTCACATTGTGTGTGAACACTTGCAGCGAATGTACATACGCGAGGAAAGTGTCGCGAGGCAAAAATTTGCAGTTGGTCTGAAATCACCATAAAAGTGTACTAAACTTTACAGTGTAGTGATGTTAACACAGCATATTTGTTTTATATTTAGTTTTTGGTTGTCATGGTAATGTATTACGTCCAACTATTAACCACACCCCCATTCTATGTAGTAGTATGAAAGGGGACTGTTGCTTTATTGTTCTAAATAGACATTACATTGTTAGTGTACAGTTGTGGTTTTAGTACTTTTATTTCTTAAATTTGCTTTTATTTATATAGTTCCAAAGCAAAAATCTTTGTTAAACAGTTAAAACTTTTAAAGTTTGTATAAAACAGTGAATTATAGGAGTAGCCTACACTGTCTGTCCCTGTTATCCAAGTCAAGGGCAACTGGACTTGGTTGAAGATACTGGAAGACTATTTTGTCTTGCTAATCATTTTGGGATGAACACCCTCAGATTGGTACAGGAGAATGAAAGGACAGCCAGGAAAATTGCAGACTACAGGAACCATCTACGATTTAACCTGATGCCGACAATACAAACTTATTCCCAACAGCCTAAACTTAGGCTCCACGGTAAAAGGACACAGAGCTGGAATAATCCTGGAGAAAGCGCAACACCAGCTACTCAATGAGAGAGTGAGACAGATACATTTCACAATTGAAGCCCTGAACAAAGAATTGGACAACATACACCACAAACTAGAAACATATCTGCCCAGTACAGCACTGGAAAAGGTCATGGATTTCATCAAGAAAGCACAGCTATCTCAGCACAACAAGAGCAATGAAAGACAGACCCGGAAATTCCAAAACCTACAGTCCAGAGCAAGCTGCACTAACAAAACAGGAGAATTGTCTTGGAGGACAAAGGACAACAACTGCACAACCCATGAAACAGACAACACATGGGTGAAAAATCTGTCAGATAGGGAACTCACCCAACCAGAGAAAGACGTTCTGGCCAAAGGATTAAGCTTTGCCATTACACCACAGCAGCTACCTATAGTGGACCTCATCACAGCCACAGAATCGGCAATTAGAAAAAACAAATAAAAAGAAACAGAAGCAAAACAGCTCAGACTAAAGGTATCTGCAGCCCTTTCTAATAAAAGGCCCCCCCTTCCAACCTCACCATCCAAGAAAGGAAGGCTGTGACATCTCAAGGATCAAAACATCACTATCCTACCTGCTGACAAAGGAAGATGCACGGTAGTCCTTAACACAGCGGACTACCAGAACAAGGTCAACACACTACTAATGGACACAAACACATATGAGACACTGAGATGAGACCCAACCAGCGGATACAAGAAAAAGGCCATAGAATGTCTACAACATCTACAAAAGGACAACACCATCACCCGTGAACAATATTACCGTTTGTATCCTGGAGAAGGCATTCCATGCATTTATGGACTACCCAAGATACACAAGAAGGAGCCCCACTCAGGATGATTATCAGCAGCATTACTCGGTCACCTACAACATTGCCAACACATTTCTACCATCTTAGCTCCTTTGGTGGGAAACACGCCTCACCACAACCAAAACTCCATTAACTTTGTAAACAAAGTTTGAGGACTAAAACTGGATCCAGATGAAACCATGGTATCCTATGACGTGACTTATTTGTTCACCTGCATCCCCACCATAGAAGCAGTAGAGACCGTAAGGAAACGGCTAACACAGGACAACACCCTGGACAACAGAACTAGCCTCAGCCCTGAACAGATCTGTAAATTACTCGACCTCTGTCTAAACACCACCTACTTCCAATACAATGGAGGATTCCACAGACAGAAGCACGGCTGTGCCATGGGCTCACCGGTATCCCCGATTGTGGCAAACATCTACATGGAAGAAGTGGAGAGCAACAGAACAGTAAACTTTGTTCACTTAATGGAAACGTTAGGTAGTTAGGCTGTTGTTGGAGATCAGTAATTCACTTGAAAGATTTAATTAGTTAAATGAATTATTATAGGGTTAAGGGGTGACAAAAATAATCGTGAATAGTCGACTAATCGAATAAATAATTAACAGATTAGTCGACTACGAAAATAGTCATTAGTTGCAGCCCTACTTGTGATGGCACTGTTGAGACAGACACATGCGCGAATATTTCAGGAGAGGAAGAATTTTTCTGAATTATTTGACGACGCACACTTAATTGGTTGGGGTCGGACAGAGGAGGCATAACCTTTGTCAGCAAGCTGGTGAGGGACGTCATCTCACCACTGACTTTATGCAGCTAAATTGAAGGTTGTGATGACGCTTTGTTTATTTGCCACAGGAATGATGCAGCAATGCTAATGATTTTGGCCCATCAAAACCATCAATAAGCCGAATTGTCGTGGAAACAATTATGGCACTTACAGCCCCTTTCATCAAGTTCCCAACAACACCCCCTGTAATCCAACAGAAGCAAACACAATTCATGCAAATAAAGATCAACTTTTTTATCTTTCATATGTACGTAGCCGATGTACAGAATGTACTCTCTTAAAATTCCTAATCGTCAAATGTCTGTTGAACGTAAACTCCTCTTAGGAATTTCACCATTCAATGTGAATTTATGAGAATATTCTTAAATAAGGAAATCTACTCAGTGATTGGTCCTTGCCTACATCGTCATCCAAAATCCTGTTTGCGGCACAGCAAAGTGTCGTGAATCAGCACTAAGCCTGACACTTATGATTTAGTCCTACACTTCACTCAAATTAGGACTATGATGCATGATAACTAACTTTTAGCACAGCTTTGAGCCAATATGTTTTTACACTTAAGTCAATTCTTAGCAGTGTTCTTATGAGATTCTGAGAAGCTTGATAAATACGGGCCCTACTGGCAGCTCCTAACTACTTGAGAGACCTCTCGAACTGTCTTAAATAACTGGGAGAGTAAGAGTGATTCTTAGCTTTGAGAAATTTGATAACTTGCTTTATTCTTAAGTTTAAAAGTAGGAGTAAATTTCATGATGGCACTTTGAGAAGCCTGATAAATACCGGCCCTGATCTCAAACTGTGTGTGCGTACAATTTGTAGCATTCATCAATATTTCCATACTTCCCACTTGTTCTTAGGTAAGTTCAAAATATAATGTTCTCAAACATTATGACGTCAAGGACCCATAAATTGACAACAATTTTGTCCCAGGGTCGCGCCCTCTGAGAGGATGTTGCTTTAAGATATTTTAAACCCATGACCAAAACAGCCTTTTGCTGTGGACCCCTGGAACACCCTCAAGGACCTGTGGGGGTCCCCAGATTTCACTTTGAGAACCACTGCCCTAGGCCACACAGTAAGCCAATATGCACAAAAGCCAACTTGGTTTTGTGCTGTCAAATATTAATACTTCATGAATATAAATATCTACTTTATGAAAGCACAGAAGATTCACCTGCAACCGTCTTATATCCAGTCTGCAGCATTTTACTGACGGCCGTTTTACCAATGCATCGGCGGAGGCAATGGTATCAGAAGTCTTTACATACAGTTAAACAGAGTAGTACTTGTTGAACTATGTGCGGATAAGGACACTTTCAGAAAAAACTATCATGGAGTTGTAGGCTTTTACAAATCACCAGAATATCTCGCAAAACAGCTATTTTCCATGTATTTACAGATTTTAAAAAAAACAAATAAATAAGAAATCACACATTAGCTGAACAGTACAGCAATCTAAGTATATTTTAACTACAATTAGTTATATGAGATGTTAAGTGAAATATCAAGCTATCAATGAGATTTTTTAGTAGAACATTACTGCCACCTAACCATGGATGTACAGTAATTTTGTACACCAAATTCATAACTGCAATGCATTGTAGAGTGACCATCGTTGTTGACTGTCATAACCACAAGCTCACAAGTTCCTGCCTGCTGTTCGACACTGATTGCAGTTTCAATTGTTTTGGGATTTTTTTTTGCCATTGACAAAGCCTATCTTAATGTTAGGTTATTACTTGTTGCTGTTGCCAGATTCATGTGAGTATCAAACACATTTGTAATTACAAATGCATGGTTCAGTTGTTGTAAATGGTTACACAAATAATCCTAACACCAATTGCCAAATACCAATTACATTTAATAAGCTCATTCATTTATAAATGCAATCAAACATGTACAACACAGGTGTCCAATTAAACTGTCCAGTTACTAAAAGTTAATTCACACATTCCAGCCAATCAGAATGGATAATTCTTAGTCATGGTAAAGTAACAAAAGCAACAAATAAAATTAGCTAATCTAGATACTTTCTTCTTAAGACAGAACAAATGGTAGGATGCACAGTCTGTTTGCAAACATTTGTACTTCTTGTTACCTTTACTAATAATGAGCAGAAATGATACTGAAACTATTCTCATTTACTCTCTTTGTCTTTCTCTTAAATGCTTCAGTGCCTCTTTGGCTCCAGTCATGCTCTCCTCTTCAACCCCAACCCTTCTCTGTCTGAGTCCTCTCTTTCTGTCTTATCACTCCCCTGTTCTCTCCTGTCAGACTGGGACGGGCAGCCAGTGTGAATCTGCTCCCTTTGTACCAGGCCACAACTGGTGGGGGAGGGCTTTGATGTGGTCACCATGCGGCGTAAAGGAGCCTACCTGGTTGATGTGAAGACTTTCCTCACACCAAATGGCACCTGTACTCTCTGCTCCAACCCTCTTCAAGGCAACAGGCTGCAGAAAGTAATTAATAAATGAAGTAAAAATAATTATCTTTCACAGATGGATCCCAAAGGAACTAGAAATTATTGCAAAAAAGAAAATAAGAATGTTAAAGAATTATATTGTATTAAATATCATTATAGGAATGGACCGACCAAACAAGTCACCCTCAATATTTTATTGACAATGATTAAATTGTAAAATTGAATGATGAAGAGAAGTGTGTGACCAAAATTGACAGAACTCAATGACACCCTACATACATACAGGAAGTTGAGTTAGTTACATGCATTAAAGGTATAACAATGCATACAAACAAGAAGAAGAGAGGAGAGAGGCACTCAGTGCATCATGGGAAGTCTCCTGGTAGTCTGGTCTATAGCAGCATAACTGAAAATGGTTCAGGGCTAAACTGTTAATTTGCTCTTGCTGTATTTTGAATGTTTTACTTTTGTTTGATTTGATGAATGTGTGTATCAGTGCTATAGGGCCCTTCTCTTCTCAATTTACACCACCTCACCAGGGCCAATCATTTGCTTGCATGGCTTCTTCACCCCTGCTATGCAGATGATACACAACTCTACCTATCCTTCCTGCCAGACGATTCCACTGTCTCTGCGCGGATCACAGACTGTCTCTTGGACATATCTGCATGGATGAAGGCTTCCCACCTTCAACTCAACCTTTCTAAGACTGAACTCTTGGTCATTCCTGCCATTCAATCTATCCACCATGATATCAAACTACAAATTGACTTCGCAACCATCACTCCAACCAGGGTGGTGAGAAACTTGGGTGTCATGATTGATGACCAGCTGTCCTTTTCAGACCATGTTGCTGCTGTCTCTCAGTGCTGCTTTGCTCTATACAACATCAGAAAATCAGGCTCTACCTTACTCAGTAGCCACCCAGCTTCTGGTACAGGCCATGGTTATCTCTCACCTATACTCTGCAATTCCCTCCTAGTAGGTCTTCCAGCTTGTGCGGTGAAACCCCTGCAAATGGGTTAGAACACAGCAGCTCGTCTGGTTTTTGATCAGCCCAAAAGGACTCATGTCACTCCATTACTCAGTTACCTCCACTAGCTACCCCTGGCCTCCCAAATCAAATTCAAGTCACTAATGCTTGCATACAGAGTGACTACTTGGTCTGCACCCATCTACCTAAACTCCATAATACAAGCTTATGTTCCTTCTCGACCACTGCGGTCCTCCAATGAACGCCGCCTGGCTCTGCCACAAAGCAATCTCATTCCCAGCTGTTCTCATCTTTGACACCACGATGGTGGAACGAGCTACCACATGCCATCAGAGCAGGGTTGTCCCTCTCTAAATTCAAGAAGCTCTTGAAATCTCATCTGTTTGGAGAACACTTTCTCTTATAACACCTAACCCCTAACGTGCACTTTCTGTTGCTTTGTACTGTCTGCCAAATAAGTGTGTTTTTATTTTTTACATTCAAATTAAAAAAAATTATTAAAAATAATCCAACAGTTGCACATACTTTGTTTATGTTAAACCACATTGTTTCTCTCCTTTATTTTCAGCTGTCAGTCTCTGCAGTGGACTGGCGTGTGGATAGCCAATGCAATACTAACTTCTATGACCATGCATACTCCTCTGTTAGGTATTGTATTATATAGCATTGTATCACTGAAAGAGTCATCAATCAGCCATTTTCATGGTTTAAGCATGTCATTACAGTTCCTTAACACGGGCCAGTAAATACTTGTGAATAGGTTCATTCTTTACTGAAGCAAAAAGCAACCATATGATTTTGTCACTGATATTTTGCAATATCTCCAAAGTCACAGACTTGAGCGCTCGTTATTTCATCTAAATCTGGCATAAGAGTGAAGTTTAAATGTTGTTGTGTACCTGTTAGCAATGCAAGAACATATGATTTAATTTTGATGTGACAGCTGGAATTTCTCGGCACTATGTTGTTGCTTCTCAAATTCAGCTCCCCATTTTATTGTTATTGTCTACGGACAAGATTTTAAGTCAGAGTCACATCGCATCATATTGTTTCCTTATCATTCATGTGGGCAATTTTACAAATGCAGCCTAAAATGTACTAGCACACACAATACTCTAAATACTAAAAATAGGTGCCATTCCCCAAGAATTTTAGCTTTTGATTCATGTAACCACTGTCTTCCTAATCTTAAATAGTCTTTATTAATTATATTAATTACAGCTGAATTCCATTGTTATGTTGTGATCATTTGTAAATACAAACTTCAAATACTAATTTTCCTGTAAATTGTTTCCACAGCTCACTGATTGATTCTTACACCAACACCGTAGGAGTGAATGGAAGGTAGGAAACATCTCACAGCTGTTGCTGACATAAATGAACATTTTACAGTTTTATTATTACTTTGTTGCGTATATGTGTGATTATTTAGATTATTTTACCACTGGATTTCCACCTTTTCCTTATTATTTTGATGAAACACAGTAACTAAACACCTCTGTACCAAATTTGACAAAAGGTTCACATTAAAAGGGCGGATGATTAGATTTTGCAGCACCTTGCTGCCTAAATAAGATACACATGATTTTTATGGCTCATTAAATGTGTTTTGAATCTATAGTTAATAAAATGTAAGTTAAAGAACGTGCATATTCAAACCAATTCCAACCAGGCAGCTCATGAGCTCATATATGTTTTTTTATCAGTTTGGCTTAAATATAAATAGGTTTGTGTCGAGCGGCCTGGATGTGGGAGGAACACGGTCCAACGTGTATACGTTTGCTTCAGAAAAGCGCAGACAGGACCGCTTCTTTTTCAGCAGTCACAGTGTCACCTGCCGCCGTTATCGGTAGGGTGTACCACTGCATTCATTCAAGTTTAAGACAATTCCTATTAAGATAATACTATCATTATAATACTACTAAAATACTATTCTGTCTCTTTGTGTCTAGTTACCGTGTGTCCAAAAGACCGCCCCTCAGCTTTGAGTTCAGTAAGGATTTGGCCAGACTGCCAAGTGAATACAGCTCCTCCACCAGGGATGAGTACATGGACCTCATACATACCTATGGCACACACTACCTTCGCAAGGTTGTAACACACACATTTTCCTTTTTCACAAATTAAAAACACCTATTTTCCCAACACATTCTCACTCCTGACTCACTCTCATATATTGACACTTAGTCAGGTACCTTTGGCGTCTCCCTGGGTACCCCTTTAGTGTCATTTTAGACGTTAATGGCTCCGCAGTAAAGTTAGCACGCGTAGCAACAACAAATATGCAACATCCAGAAAAGTTAGCAATAATAAATATGCAACAAAGCTACGTCCCACCTTCTCTGTCCTGTACGCGCGCTGTCCTGCTACGTGGTGCGCACAGCCGCCATGAGGGGACGAGGGGCGTGGCGTGAGCACGGTGCTTGGTGTAGAGCTATGGAACGCTAAAAGGCTCACAATACGCCACTTTCCTACCCCGTTTTGTTAACTAAACAAACGGCGTAAAAAACGGCTATAATCATCAATCAATAGATGTTACAAGCTATAACCTAGAGTAGCTAAATATTTTTAGTAAATGTAGTCAATATACTTTATCAGTCTGGGACTTTTGTGTTGAGTTTTTCATGCTAGTCTGTGGTTACTTTATGCCTTTGGGTGGCTACGATCACAGTAAAGTAGATCAGTGCTGAATTAGTGTGATCTGTTCTTCTTCTGTACTGATTGGGTGACAACAGTTCAAATTTAGTGGCTGTAAAATCCACAGGGCGGAGCTCATTATCATTTTACAAAAGGCGTCTTGTAACTCGTTATGATGCGCATCATTGGGGACACTGAGCCCCGTAAAAAGCGGCGTTACATGAGCACATAGAGCGCCGGTTTTTTTTCGCCGCCTCCAGACCGACGAAAAATGCGTTGTTGTTTACACGAATTCCACTGCGCTTTTTAAGGCGTTTTGCTTTTTGGCGGCGTAAAAAGCGGCGTCCTGGCCGTTGAAACGGCGCTTTTTAAGCTGTTTTTTTAACAAAACGAGGTAGGAAATTGGCGTATTGTGAGCCTTTTAGCGTTCCATATTGGTCAAAGTATTATCACACTAGAAGGCGGGATTTAAAGAAAAACACGATAAACAAGTAATGGCGCAGCAGAAGCAGCAGGTAGGTAATCACAGCTCAGTGCAGCAAAGAACGTACACTTATATACTTAAATTAAATACTTAAAATATAAAATATAATATAATTTCAGTTTTTAAATTGACAAACATCAACAGCCCTAACGCGCCGTACCCGGAGTCAGTAACTTTGTGACGTCATGTAACTTCCTGATTAACCTGTACTACAAAAGGTGGATGGGAGTTACCCAAGGTCGGTTGCCATGGCAATTAACGCTGCATCTCTAAATTGCTCCGAGCAGGTTATGTTCATGGTTAACTCGAGGTTACCCTGTATATGTGGACTACACACCACATCTGTACTTATTGTTAATGAGATAAAGTAAAGTTGAATATTAATAACCTATTTCATTTCAGCTGCCACTCAAGTGGAACAAGTTAGGATGAAATCTAAAAATATTTTATGAGGTAGCCTATGTATTAATACTCTCATCATTATCACTGAGTGCAGATGTGGTGTTGTTGCTGGCGCAGTGGATAAGACACGTAAGAGACCCGGGTTCAATTCCACTGTGTCACTGACCAAGATACTTAACCCCTAGTTGCTCCAGTAGCGTGCAACCTCTGATTCATAGCAATTGTAAGTTGTATAAAAAATTATGGCATGTAGCCCACCATAACTATGACGCTTTAGGGATGCCCAATGCATTACAAACTGACGCAGATGGGTCTTGACCAATGCATCTATATGTGACGAGTCAGGGAGTGAGAATGGGTTAATTTTCCAACACCATTGTACTTTATTTTAGGTTCACCTTGGAGGGCAAATCAAGCGAGTCACAGCTACACATACCTGTTTGTCCTCATTGAATGGGCTCACCGCAGATGAGGTATATGTAGCACACTGCCTGTGCAATTACAGCGTACACAATAACCAAAATGCATATTTGTAAACACACAAACAAACAGACACAAATGTAATCACACAGTTATTCAGAATTTTGGCCGAAATGAAAATATAATAGACATAACTATGTTTTCATATCATCACCTGAAAATAATAATTTTGTTTCCTTCGAATATAGTTTTTTTTTTTTTTCACAACTCTGCCTCTGATTGGCCAGTACCCACCTCCGTTGGTAAGATCAGTTAAAGAGGTGATATTATGCTTTTGGCTTTTTCCCTCTCCTTTATTGAGTTACATTCCTTTTTTATGCATGAAATCCATCAAGTCCACCCCAAAGGAGTTCCCATCTCCCACAGAAAACTCTGCTCTGGACTGTCTGTGACGACACAGGGATGAAAGCTAAACGCTCCTCATATAACACTCGCCAAGCGGCTACTCCAACACGCCCTCAAAAACACCGGTGGAAAAACACTGAGCTGCAGCAGACCTCTGCTTCTGATTGGCTAGTAGTCCTTAACTAGGAACTGTGCATGTGCAACTCCCAACAAAGATCATTTAGAGACAAGCTGTATCACTCCATAGCTAAAACGAAGCCTTCAAAGGGTGAAAAGAGGAGCTGCAGCAATGTAGTATGACAACAAATATGGTGTTTTTTGAAAATTAAACCATGTAAACCTGTTCTGGTCTAACCCATAAATAGGATTTTGAACCTGAAAATTAGCATAATACCACCTCATTAAGATTAGCGTTAGACTGGGATTAGGGCAGTGCTTTAAGTGGATAAGTCCCTGTGCTCCTCCTCATTCACATGTTTAACTTGAAAAGTTAGTAAGTCAGGTTTAAGTCAGTCAGAGACAGAGTAGGGGGCAGGAGTTGACACAAAGCCTGTATCCATCAAGTTAGAGTTGTCACAGATCTGGTGGGAAACATGTTGCACCATTATATTTCTACAGTAGCCCAGAATGGACAAACCAAACACTGACTCTAGATACGGTGTTTCACATTTTCGCAAGTTCCTGCAAATCCAGTGATTGCAGGGTTGGTGGTTACACTCCTGTCTTCTCCTAACGGCATGTGTCATTCCACACCTTTTTTGTTGTGCTGATCTATGAATTTCTGTGTGAGTGTGAGGCATTGTAATTCACCATTCACTGCTCTTGGTATAAAGGCATTGTTTAAATGCAGTCAGTTATCCATCATGTAACTAGCATCTTATTTCCTCTCCCGTCCTCTAGGTCCACTCCTGCTTATCACATGGTGTCTCTGTAGGCCTGGGGATGGTGACATTATCCGCTAGCCAACCATTTTGCAACAAAGTCCTACAGAACCAGGGCAGGAGTGACATATCCAGCTCTAGTCTCCATGAACATTACACAGAAGTTGTAGGAGGCAACGGTTGGTCTGGGGAGTTTTCACTCACTCATAATGACCAGGGGTACAGAAAATGGCTGAACACCATTACGGACCACCCGAATATTGTTTCATACCGCCTTAGGCCAATGTATGAGCTGATGCCAAATAAGACACAGAAGACAGGGATGAAAGTTGCCATAGAGGAATACTTAGAGGAAAACGCTGTGAAGCAGTCACCTAGAGAGCCAAACTGTGGATGGTACACTCCCAACCTGGATGCCAGCTGCTGTCCTAAAGACAACTTGTGGGGAAAACTGGTGGTGACCATCGTCCGAGCCTGGAATCTGTATGGAGATTATGCTGCCGCTGTCCCTACTGATGGGTGAGTAGAGTGAGGTCAGGGACTGACATCTGAAGATGGTATGTCAGACAACAATATTAATTCATCAGTTGCATCACTTGTTTTCTCCTATTCATAGCTATGTTAAGATGTGGTATGGTTCCATGTATCGGCAGACTCATGTAGTTGAGTCAGACAACCCCACGTGGAATGCTCGTTATGATCTTGGCAGGGTGAGTAAATCTTCTCATTACAGAAAAGCTCAAAAGAACACATGAGAAAATAACTTGAATCCCATAAAGCTATGGTCTGATGTAGGCCTACTTTTTGTGCTGTAGACTAGAGTTACTATTCTGTGTGCACCAAGAGAAGTGAAAAGCAATAAATATATATGTAATAGCCTTTATAATATAATAATGATTAGTGGTTATACTAAAGGCCAGTTATGTCAAATTATTTTAAGACTAAAAGAATAATAATAATAATAACTATAATAATAATAATAATAAGTATATTTTGCGACTCACTTTAGCATTTGCGGAGAAACACAAAGAGAAGTATTGTGTTAGAAGACGCAGACATGGTAGATATGTTTTATAAGCATGGACCAGGTAAAGCAACAGTGAACACACCTGTTGGTGCCAGTGTCATTCGATACCACATTGGTCTCAATTGTTTCAATAGGCTATGTCATAAACAGCAAGCCTACACCACAAGCAGCTCACCTGCCGCTGTGAAAGTGGAACCAGAATATGTCCAAAAAGTACAGAAGCCCTAAGGGGCCATACATTCATACGTTTGAGCCCGACCGATATGGGTTTTTGGGGCCCAATGTCGATATTAAAGTGAAAAAGAGCCGATTTATGAGCCGATATTTTGATTTTGAGAATGATTTGGATAGTGTTGAAATGATATTGTAAGTTTTGGAGACTGATGAAGACTTAACATAGCATGGTTTATTGAGCCCGGTCAATGAGATACAGTGCCAAGTACATGTGAGAAATACCTAAAGCTATAATGTCAAACACTTATGGGATCAGTTAAATTACTCTAAGCTAGACTTGTCTTATCTTTCCCTGTTACATCAATTAAGACACCTAAGAAATATTCTTAACAGATAGTAGACCCATTTACTGTATAAACTACACTTAGAACAGGCCGATATTGAAAGCTGGTATGTCTGTGGGCTATAAAACCTTTTCCTAAATGTATTATGTCAATAAAATAGAATTCTGTCTCAAAAAGTGAACATGTAAACAATTTCACATCAATAAATATTTGCTGCTGGAAGGTGCAACTTCTTCAGCCATCTGTAAACAGAGAGAGTGAGAGAGAATAAGCATGTGTATTTCACTTTACACAAAATCTGCCATAATTGGCGTATGTAGCATATTCATACCTACTTCATCCCTTTACCAGCACTCTTTAATTCTAACCAAATCTACAAGAAACCATTTCTCATCATCGGTATAATTCATGCCCATGTTTGCCCACCAGAGGGCGACCAGCTGCAGCTCCCCTGTTAACTACACTGCCTCGCCACAAAAATCAGAGGAAAAAAATCAGCTGACTGGAGTTTACCAGAGCTTACAGACAGCATAGAAATACGCGGGAGGACTGTGTGAGCGGGGTCAGGGTATCTGTGGATAATCCGTAATTCGTATGTAATACAAAAACGAAAATACCGTTTATTCGTTTTTTGTTTCAAAACGAAAAACCAAATAACCGTTTTTTGTGACAGAATCAAAAAACGAAAAACCAACTAAAAGGGCCCGTTTTTCGTTTTTTGGTCATTCATTTTATCGTTATTCCTTTTGGAACAAATAATGAAGAGAGTCTGTGAACTTCAGTCAATTCGTTTCTCGTTATAAACCAAAAACGGAAGTCACGTGGTCTATTCCTTCTTTGGAAGGGATAGTAACCAGTAAAGCCTTCAAAATCAAAGTAGCCCATGTACCATGCATGTAGTTAGGAAGGTGATTTTAGACTAAAACTAAATTAAAATAACGTTTTTTTAGTAAAACTAAAGTAGCACTGGGTTTAGTTAACTGAAATAAAAACAATAAATAATAAAATGATAACTGTTAAGCTGTTAGGGAGAATTAAACATTTGTAAGACCATTGGTGACCTGTAACTTCAGATTAGGACAATTTAACTAATTTTATATGTAGCTTAGGATCGCAGTTAGCCTGTTTATTTAAGTTTATATTATTTAATTCCTATTTTAGTTTCTGAACACATATAACATATAAGATTTTTAAGCCTTCTTGCTGTGTGTGAGCTCCACCAGCAGAGGGCACTCTGCCCCCTTCTGTGCACGAGTCCTTCTGTGGCGCCAACAAACAACAAGCTTTTGACCTTTTGACTTGTGTTTCTATCACAGAGAAGGCTGCACTGCGACCAGACGAGGCTAATCACTGAGCTTGAAGGGTGTGCAGAACTTCACCTGCCTCCAGCTTCTCTTTCTGTGGAGCTGCTAAAAACTCTCAGCTTCCACCATCTGCTGTTATGTGTCAAAACAAAACTCTTCCAAAACAAATCTATAAAGTTGAATAATTTTTATTTTCCTTTGCATTTTTTCCAGTGTAATGTACTTAGTATGTTAGTTAAGTAGATTAAATATTTTAATGCAGCCTGTAGTTGTCATTAGTTATGTAGGCAGACTTATGTGTGAAGAGCCGGAGGTTGCCGCTTGGTGAAACCTGGTGAGCATTACTGAGAGTCAGAAAGCATCTCCTCTGGCTCTGGGCTTTAAGACTTTTACTGCCTTTCTTGGCTTTAATTCTGATTTGATGAGCCACCAGGGGAAGCTCTGCACTGTTTGAACCCGTGTAAAGTAAAATAAAAGTGAAACTGAGTCCCAAGACAGGTGATGTGAGCCTGTGCAGGTTTGAGGACTGATGATAGTATCAAGGCTGGCCCCATCACCTACCATCACGCTCTGTTCAGATAAATGCTGGACTGTCAGGACAAAGCAGAACACCACTCCTTCCTCCAGCACCAGAGAAGGGCCCTGTTGGCACTTTCACATATTTACATCATGATTTATGGTAACAACAACACCTTGTAACTGTGGCACTGCCTTTGTGCATAAGGAAATGTAAATACATGGTGACCTGTACTAGACCCAGCTCCAACCTGTCCACCCTACCCGGGTCACCCTCCTTTAGGACCAATCACCTTCACCCTCTTTACAGACAGCATCTCACATGTGGAGCCTGATACTTGAGGCTTTCAGCATTACAAGAAAATAATTGTTTCTAAACCATTTACATTGGATTTATTTAAAGGAATTAGAGACAAATCTGCTGTTTCCTTGGTCGTCCTGTCTGTTTCCTGGAGGGTGAGTGTAATATGTGATGGTAACTGGATCGAGTTCATCTTCCTGATCATTTGGTGGGTTCTGTGTTTGTAGCAATTTGTTTTCCAAAGTATGTCCAGGCCTGTCAGTGTGGTTCTGTCTTTATCCCTGCAGACATGCTGCAGCATTAAGACAGTGTGAGGGACGTGTGTGGACAGATTGATTCAATGCTGCATGTTGCTTGTTTTGTGGGACGTTTGATATGTTAAGAGGAAGAGACCTCAGTCCTGCTCTGAGTCTGCTGGTTTGTATCAGATGTGAGAAAATGTCATTAGAAGTTGCTGTTGGTATTCTGTGATGTGACAGAAGGAACAGGTTTTTCTTCTGAATTAATCCAACGCAGGTTAATGTCAGGGGCAACTGGACTTGGTTGAAGAAGATCTTCAACCAAGTCCAGTGAGAATCTTCATAGACTTCTGAATTAATGGCCTAATGTCCAAATAAAGCTCGGTGTCCATCTGACTGATGACTCCTCAGATTGTTACCTGGCAGTAAAGGCTGCTCTGGAGAACACTGAACAATGTGCTCAGACTTTCTCATCTGTTTAGGGGAGTTTGGCCTTTAGTAAAAACTGTTTGTGTATTGAGAGCTAGCTGCTTAATAACTCTGATAAAACTAAATATTAACCGATGGTTCGAGTTTGATAACAAGGCTAGCAGTTTAAATGTAATCTTGTATATCACTGACTTAGTTAGCCTGTGTGGTTATCCATTTTCTTGTTGTGATAGTAGGCTTTCGGCCTGGTAATGCCACAATCTAGTTTCACTAACTCTTAATGCATTGTGTCGCAGTGTGGTCAGGGAGCAGGTTAGGATTTTGGATGGTAGGCCTCGAGGATGATGCATAATTGTTTTAACTTTTGTGTTTTTATAACAGGCATTTTAAGTCACCAAGACCCTGTAGACTGCATGGCCTGTTTTGCTAGAGTTCACCACAGAGGCGGCCGTGGAGGTTGATACACTGAGTTGCCTTAAACATCTGCTCCTTGAATGAGGTGGAGTCAGAGCTGGTGGATGATTTACTGCATTAGTTGTGGGTTGTATAGCCACTGCTGTTTTGTCTGCCTGATCAACTGCTGATTTTTGTGAGACTCTGTTACAGGTGGATGGGCCCTGTGAATGTTTTTGCTAGGTTCTGCTAAGGGTGGGGCAGTTTGCTTTTGTTGGGCTGCGTGACTTCCCTCAGCCCTTCTCCCTCTTCTTCCAGTGTTCTGACAGGGTGGTGGACTGTGGTGGACTGTGGGAGCCCCTCTTCCCTTCACTGCATGTCGTGGTGTGTGTATATGACAGCTGTGTGCGGACCTTTAACTGAGCCGTGTGGTGTTTTATGTGTGTGACTTGCTGTCTTTAGTTGGTGGCGCACACCTGTGGGTGGTGGTGTCACAGCATCCTGGTGGCAATTTTGCTTTGGTAACAGTTTGCTTTTATCCTTTAGCATCTCTGCAGCATTGGCCTTAACATCTTGTTGGTTTATTGTTTGAGCTTGTGTAGTTAATAAAATTGCCCAAAACCTGATCTTTAAATTTTGATGTTTCATAAATCACCTTTCCAGTCGAAATGCAAGTCTCTCTGGTAAAGAGATGCTCTGTAAAAAATAAATAAATAAAATCCAATGGGTTAAAATGAGACATTATATCATGGATCTGTTCCCAAGCTTGCTTATTTGCTTGTAGCGCTATGCTAACCTTTCTCCTAAGGAGGACAGTAGTCCAAAAACGTTCAAGTAGCACAGAATTAATTTATAACGATATTATATACATATTTATAATATGCCTGAGCTCGTTCTCTTCGTGTGCAATGACAATTTTATGATGTGAAGACTACTGGATCTGAACGCTCGACATGGGCCTCCAAATGTTAAAGCTTTTTAAC